TCGGTCATTTTCAAAAAGTTGGTTGCCACTAGCTTAGTGAAAGAACCAAAGATACGTGTAAGTACAGAAAATGAACTAATGGTACCTTTTGCCATTTGCAATGGTAGCTTGAAATCTTAAAAATCTCTAGATTGGAATTTCAAGGGTCCTGTTCTGGAGATATTTTTCCTTTTTTTTCAAATGTAGTGTTTCAATGATTTTATTGAACTGGCTCCGAATATGCTAAGTTTTAGGCTACTGTAAAATGGTTAGAAAATGATTTTGTTTGTGTAGAAGGAAAGAGAGTTCAAGTGCTAAGAAGATGGCTCCATTCAATATTTTAATTCTTTTATCCGCAGATGGGAGTATGGTTTGTTGGTTTTTGTACCGGATAATTATTCAATTTGGTTCTTATTTGTAAACTCTCCTTTTCATTTCTTACAATTTTATATTTGTTATATAATATTCATTTAGCCTTTATTTTCTTGGATCTGCAGCAAGACAGGGAATCCTAAAATGAATATGATATTATTATATTTTTTTTAATATAATGAACACATTTAGCCACGGTTATATTCATGGCTAATATCAAGAGTAAACGTAGCTAATAAATGTTACCACGCTCAAAACTATAATGGCTAATTGGAAAAATTCCCGTAGCTAAACAAATGCAACGCCAGTATTATGTACGGTCTGTGGAAGCATGGCAAATTGATTTGGCCACGGTGTTTTTGGCCATTTGCCACAATTTTAACCATGGCTGAATCCCATTTTTTTTAGTGTATATTGTTGGTATATGTTTAAGGAAAAAGTGTTTGTCATTTTAAATGACAGAAAGTTATGTCATTTTAAGAGAGATATAGACACAGAAAATTTGAATTTTAAATTAAAAAATCACCCATTTTCTCTCTCCCATGATTTCTGTTTCTCTGTGTCTATCTCTCTCCTAAAATGATATAACTTATGTCATTTAAAATGACAAACATCAAACCCTATGTTTAATATTGAAAACTCTTAGAATTCATTATATGGGAAAGCCATGTATTTTTTGACATTCAATTATATATGGTACACATGGATTTGATGGTACATATAACGACATTTGATATCCATTGAAACGTGATTTATAAATGGGAAAGTTTTGGCTTTATGAATTAGGCAAGCGATAATTCTTGCTTAAAAATGTACTATGTGCTTTGATGGATATAAAAGCCTTATATCTAACGAAATATTTTGTATTATATGAACTTGGAAAGGGCTATCTTAGTGATGATATGAAATCTGTACCATCTAGGGGTAATAAGAAATACTTTATTACTTTTATTAATGATTGCAGTAGATATTGCTATGTGTATTTACTTAATAGTAAAGATGAAGCTATTGTTGCTTTTAAGCAATGTAAAAGTGAAGTTGAAAATCAACTTAACAAGAAAATTAAAATGATAAGGAGCAATCGTGGGGGAGAATATGATGGCCCCTTCGAGGAATTCTGTATAGAGTCTGGTATTATACACCAGGCAACAGATCCATATTCACCGCAATCAAATGGGATTGCAGAAAGGGAAAATCGGACATTGAAAGAAATGCTGAATGATATGTTAATTACATCCGATTTACCACAGAATTTGTGGGGGGAAGCCATTTTGACGGCTAATTACATTATTAATAGAATGCCTCACAAAAAGACAAACAACATACTATACGACGTATGGAAAGGAAAGAAACCATCCTTGAAATACTTTAGAGTGTGGGGGTGCTTGGTTAAGGTTGCGGTTCCTAAACCTAAAAGGTTGAAAATCGGACCTAAAATCGTGAATTGTGTATTCATCGGTTATGCACTTAATACGGTTATTACGGTTATTGAGTCAAGGGAAGTTATTTTCTTTGAAGACGTATTTTCGTATAATAAAGTACATGAATCAAGTGGTAATAATGATAACCACATTGTGATACCTCGAGATGCTACAACTAATATTGATCATGTAGAGGATGTAGAAGATGAACCTAGACGTAGCAAGAGGCAAAGGACAGCCACATCCTTTGGACCTGACTTTATGACATATTTATTAGAAAATGAGCCTCGGACGTATAAGGAAGCTATAGCGTCTCTAGAAGAACCATTCTGGGAAAAGGCTATCAATAGTGAGATAGAGTCTATCTTGTCCAGCCACACTTAAGAATTGGTAAACCTTTCTCCTGGCAATAAGCCTTTAGGAAGTAAGTGGGTGTTCAAAAGAAAAATGAAAGAAAACAACACTATTGATAAATATAAAGCTAGGCTTGTGGTAAAAGGCTACTGGCAACGTGAAGGTCTCGACTATTTCGGCACCATGGAAGCAGAATTTATTGCTTTAGATAAAGCCGGTGAAGAAGCCGAATGGCTTCGTAATTTTATTGAGGATGTTCCTAATTGGCCAAAACCAGTACCAGCCGTATGCATACACTGTGATAGCCAAGCAACTATTCGAAGGGCCAAGAACGTCGTGTATAACAGTAAGTCTAGACACATACGTTGTAGACAAGATACCGTAAGACAACTACTCTCGAATGGAATTATTACAATTGACTATGTTAAGTCTAAAGAGAACATAGCGGATCCGTTAACCAAAGGGATTCCTAGAGAGTTGGTTGAAAATTTGTCGAAAGGAATGGGTTTAAGGCCTATCAATTGTTGAGCATTGCGGTAACTCTACCTAGAAGAGTGGAGATCCCATGAACTAGGTTCAAAGAGACAACTAAGTGATGTTCGACTGTTCAAACACTGTGGAGTTTTAAACTCACACTCATTCTTATGACAAGACAGTGTATTTATGAGGGTAAGCATTTAGGCTTTTAATGTTTTCTTAATATGTTGTGTTCAGATGATGTATAGTAAGTTACATCATAAGAAATCACCTATGTGAGTGTGAAGTGAGGGCCGCTTCTATGAGAATTTTTTAAAGGCCGATTCTCTAAAACACTCGCAGAACCAGGCAGGTGTCCCACGGCCAAAATGGGCACAACAAAGGACCAACAATGCTAGAGAAGCAATTGTGTGACTCCTATGTAAAACCTTATTTGTCTCATGTATAATATTAAGTGTTATTTGATTTAATTAATAAAAGGGCATAATGGTAATTGACTGCTAAGGAAGTTGTTTAAAAGAATAATTGTTGATAGATGCAGTTATCTTAAGAGTAGTGGGTAGTTTTCTAATAAATAGGGGTCTAGAAAACTGACTACCATCATTGTCTTCCCATGAGCGTTGTATCTCATCCCTATCAGAAGAAGATACAGGAAGTGAAAGGGTCAAGACTCTTAGAAAGCATTATACCGTTAAAGATCTTCCGCAATTATGGACAAAGGTATGTTTGTGTGAAACTCATAAATTCTAAAGATCTTTTTTCATGTTCTTGATATGATTGTTATTGAGCATGAATTATTGATTAATGCTTACATCCTATTGTCTAGGTATACACTAAAGGTCGACGGTTCAAGTCGACCAGACCACCGATTGACCGAGTATATCCGATAGGTTTTCACTAGAGAAGGTTCAAAGGTAACTCCACTTATCTCGATGCAGTTGTTTCTCGTTGAGAAAATTACACTTTGCATTTATACTTTTATGCATTCTAGTCACGATGAATTGACTTCTTATGCATGTGGGGGATTGTTGGAATTTATATATATATAAATTGTGTAGACAATCTATTAGTTATGAATAAGAAGTTTGGTAGTGAAAATGTGTGTCTTTTCGTCGACAAATAGATGTATCTTTTCACCCTAAAGGATGTGTTGTTTCATCCTTGAATGGGTGTCTTTTCGTGTTGAACGAATGTGTCTTTTCGTGTTGAACGAATGTGTCTTTTCGTGTTCAACGGATGTGTTATTTCGTCGGCGAATAAGTGTCTTTTGAAACGTGACCTTACGTTTTCTATATATAGACCCTGACCCCTTCAGAAAATTTAATTAAGTTTTCTGCACTGTTATTCTGCTGGATTATTTTCTTCACCCGGTTTTGCATACTTCATTCTATTTTTCTGGTGTAATCCCTCTGGCATTTTGTTGTGTTCGTTTGGGCTGTTGACTGGTAGTGCCGCCACTCTTCAGACGAAATCCGTTCTATCCTGAAAGACAAGTGTCCATCAACCTTTGGCATCAGTGAGGGGGCAAATTGTCTTAAGGAGACACATTCTGTGGGCTCGGATTTTATTCCTCTGATACTACATAATTTTATCATTCTGTCTGTCTCATCATCTGACATCAAGTAAGTCTGTTTTTAATTTTTTATAATTGCACAGTGATAATTATGATCATCTATCTCGTTTGCTTTAATCATGGGTTCAAACCTCTTAGTGATATAATATCACTCATTGTCTTCAATAACACAGCATGCCAACATTCTTCCTCGATCATTTTTTTTGGTTTCTTTTTTTGTTTTTCATTTTTACTATTTAATTATATTTTTATATTTGAGTCCTCAACAAAAATTACGAAACTTATTTTAATCTTTTTGATCCCTCTGAAATTAAAAGAAGACTCGCGTTAAAAACATAGGTCTTCTTTGAATTTTAAAAAGATGTGAGTGGACTTTTGAATTTTAAAGAGACGTGAGTGGACTTTTTTTTTCTAAGCAATTAAATTAAGCCGTGTAATATTTGTTGAGAACTCAAAAAATACTTTACTCTATTTTATTTTATTTTTTATTTTTTGAAAAATAGGGGTTCATAATTCAAATTATTTTTTCATCAATTTTAAATTTTTGGGGGAAAATTAGGTGTTCACACAGAGCATGAAGCAATTAAGAACAAAAATTGAAAAAAAAATTAACTTTTTATTTCTTTTTTGTTCGCAGGCACACTTTATTAAATACAAATATTATAGAATGCGTTATAAACATTTGAAAATTGGAACAAATAAAATGTGTTTGATTGATTGATATCAAACATAATTTTTCTGCCCAAAAACTCTTCCAAGCACTTAAATAAAAAAATTCCAATGGTTTTATCCCAATAGCTTAAAAAGTTTGTGGCATCCAATGAAAGAAGAATGTATTAACTTTTTATTACAATTGTCAACCATGAAAGTTGTCATTTCTTTCCCTTGAGATTGATTACTGCAAGCTCTTGTTCTACATACTCTCCTGCACACATAGGTGGATATTTGCTTGCCAACGACGATTCAGTAAAATGTCCCAAGGGCTTCAGAACCGCATCTGATGCTATGTGCGCAAACAACTACATGTGACACACAAAATGTTACCAGTCAATATAACCCTCACGAAACTCTAATTTCATTAAACTCTTCTTTCATTGTACAAAAAAAGACCATCTTTTTGTCCTCACTCACCGTTGAAGAGACTCTCCACAAGCTACGTTTTTGCTCTTGTGCAATACTGATTGCATCAATTGTCCTGTTTGTGACAACTACCTCATGCATGCCAGCTATGCAATCCCCTCCAGTTAACCACTCTATCTGCATTTTAAAACAATAAAAACAAAACCCAAAAAACAAAAAGACATTGATAATGCAAAGAATCAATCACAATTATCAAAGAGCGCTGTCAAATTAAGTAAACTTGCAGTCCCAAAGGCAATGAAAATGAAGTCATAGCCCATAATGGGCAAAGGGCAGATTGCGGTGCAAAAGGCTCTCTGACTTGCAAGGGTAGGGATGAGAGTCGATTATACGCAGCATTTTGTAAAGAAATTATTACCCAAACTCGAACTTGTGACCTATTGGTCATGAGGAGCAACATTATTGCTACTCCAAGGCTCGCCACCAACATATATAAAATTGAAATACCATTTACTTACTTGAGACAGGTAACTTTGATAAATAGTTCAAAAAGTAAAGGACAAACAAAAGAAGATTGGCGAGGCCATTTTGATCAGAAAGACAGGAGATACGAGAGGACAAGGCATCAGGTACATGTTTCAAACTGCAATATAAACTTTGAATTCCTTCTGATCAAACATCTGCAGATTCAGGTCATTTCCAGTTACCTGTTTTCCTGTCTGAATAAGAAGACATCCTATAGGAACCTTCACTTCAACTTTCTGTCCATTTCTTAACCAGATGTTTAAGCCAGGAAATCTACTTCTACCATGAATTGTTAGGAAGTTAAGGTCATAGTGATATCCTGCAAAAACAGTTCCCTCCTGGCCATATCTTTGAAGGTCACTCCCTGTTGGAGCTAACAGATGTGGGCCCTAGTACATGACAAAAAAAGACCAATCCATTATACAATCACTAGAAAAACACAGGTAATCACATGAAGAGCTATGCAGGTACGAGTCTGGTTCAAGCCATCATTCAATTTTACTGTAGAAAAATGCTGCAATGTGACAAGTAGAGAATATTAATACCTATTAGAAATTGGCAAAAAGGAGCTTATTAAAGTGAAGTTGTTCCTTCTCGACATGCATAAATATAAATGTATTACTAAATAAATGACATTGTTAAAAGGATGGGGTATAACCCATTAGGTGGCCATATCATTCACTAAAACCTCCAATTTATTGAAGTAACAAAAGTTGCAGCCCAGTCCATGAGGCTCCTACCATTGTGGGGCCTGGGAAAGGCTAGCATTGCATTAAAGTAAAAAAGAAATACATTGTTAATTTTGAACCAGCCAAGAGTAAGGCAGATTTCTTAGAGAACTTATGCTTTCCTTTACAAAAGGGATTTCTGCAGTATATCTATTCCCACAAGTAAACCATCCCGCTCCTTTTGGAGGCAGCATAAAAAAATGCATGTGCCTCAGTCTTGTCGGATACTAATCTAATTTTAAGCAGGGGAAACTATCAAACAACTAAAGAAAGTATATGAAACAAAGCATGAAGACAACTCTGTTACAGTAAAACACTGCCAGTCTGCCACTCAAACTGGGTGAACCTTTGCATCCAAATAGAAAATGGGTAACTTCAAATGCTAATTCTGTACTATGCAGTAATATAATCAACTAGATGAGATTGTGAATGGTGTCCCACATTATTTTTGTTTAAAATCCATCTCAAAGTGTTAATCTTTAATATCACATGAGTTCTTTAATAAACTCATTTCAGTTGTATTTTTCTTTGGCCTTCCTATGAGTAAATGTTAATTGTTTATTTAACAAATATCTAATCAACAGGAAGCAATTGATGTGCTCACCAGCTTCATAAGAGAAGTGAATGCATCCTTTGGAAGACCAAACCCAATAGCTGCCATTTCAGCAACCACCTAGTATGAAATATGCACATTTAGATCATGCACCTTAGAAATAGTATTAAAAAAATAACAATCAAATAACTTACTTCAATTGCTGCTATCATTTTGTATCCCCAGGAATCCATGGTTTCTTTCCATTCAGGGAAACCTTCAGGAATTACTGGTTCTGCATTGAGTTCCTGCAAAATTGAGATAAACTTTAGAAGGAAACAATACTAGCAAACATATGTCATTAAGAAAACGAAAAGAGAGAGGCACAACACCTGAAAACGGGTTTTAGATGGTCGAGGACCGATTCTCCAAAAGTATCGCCATTTGAGATCAGGCCCAACAGGAGTATGTGGCTGGTACTCTTTAGGCATAGCTTTCAGTTTCTCTTGCATTTCTTCATCAACCAAGCTTCTTGGAACTTCTACTCTTTCCGGTGTAACCCCAACCTATAACACCCATTTGAAGCACCATTTATTATTATCATGTCATAAGGATTCTCTTCGCCCCCCAAAACTGCCAGATCACAAAAACAAATCGCACTCTACAACAAATACATTTGTAGCTGCATATTAATCCAATTTTCTTCCTGAACTAAATGATCCAAAAGCCATTACAATGCTTTATATCACAGTACTGATTCCTGAATGAAGGCCCTAACCATTGATGATCTTTTTTCTGCTTCCTAAAATGCTGCTAGTATTGTCCATTTGCAATGTTCATAAAATCTCTATAAATTGCTACACACAAAAACTGAATTAAAAACTTTAAAAATGGAAGAATGCCTTCAACCATAAAGGACCTAAGCCCAGAACAATTTAGAAAATTATCACCCCAAAATAATAATAATAATTTAAAAAAGTTAAATTTACTTACAAGTCAAAGGAAAAACCTGATTCACAGAAATAAAAAATAAAAAAATTTAACGAGTCCAAATTTCGAAAGAATGAAACTTTAGGGAAAAGTAAAGAGACCCATTTCGCAAAGAGAAGAGAACTACCTGGTAATGCAAGTGGGGCCTCTCGTGGAGGAGCTTGAACTGTTGAGGGCTGGAGAAGTACCTCTCCATCATATCGATGAAGCGATCGTTGTCTTCAACGGAGCACCGCGGATCCTTCACTACCAGTGCCCCCGTCTCCCTCAGGCTGCGGCTTACCTCGCCGCATAGGGCGGTGATTTGTGGGTCCCACTCGCCGGAATTTCCCTGTAGATATGGTGAGAGATCTATGACGGGAAGGTCCATTCTTGACTCTCTTTTGGAGGATGGAATGATGATGGCGGGAGAGTGTGGTTTTGGAAACGAAAAACAGTGATGATATTTATTGACAATGTGCAATTACTTTTTATGGATTTTGGACCCCTTGGATGACCCACTGATTCATGGTTTCAGTTCATGTGTGCACACTTTATGTTCGGATTTACTTAACTTTTAGAGCAAAGCCTATGGTGCGTAATAAAAAACACGATTTTTATTTTTTTCCCTTATAAAAAAATTAATTTTTTCTCCCTCTACAATTTCAGTTTTTTGAAAATATAATTTCTCAAAAATTCAATGAATACTCAATTTAATCCCTAAAAAAAGATTAATATGTGTTTTTTTTTACAAGAGACCGATCGTGTTTTTTGTTAGGAATCCAAAGAAGCTTTACTCTAACTTTTAAAAAGGTATAGGAGATATTTTTTTATCGGAAAAAATATTTTTCGGGAATATGGTAATATTTTTCCTCAGATAAATTATGAAAAGGTGTTTGGTAAGTTTAAAAAATTTTCGAAAATGTTAGGTTAATTCTTCTGATGCTGTGAGAAAATAAAAATGCCTTGTATCATATGGTGTTTTCATTTGAGAATATGATGTGTAAAATAAAATAATTGGAAGAAGAAAAAAATTTCCTGAGATTATTCTCAGTTTTCTCGTGCTCGTGCCAAACGTTAGAAACAAATTTGTTTCACCTCATTTTCCCAAGATTTTTCTAGAAAAATTCCTGTACCAAACAAGGGAGAATTTAATATATATATATATATATATATATATATATATATATATATATATATATTATAAATAAATTTAATATATTTTAATTTGCATTTAGGGGTGAATTTGATTACGATTTAAAAGACTTTTTTTAGAATAAAAAATCCCATGGAATTTAAAAGATTTTAATAGATTTGTAAGGATAATAGGGATTTATAAAATGTGTTTAAAAGATTCTTTTTATAATTAATATTTAATAAGATTAGATTTTAAAGAATTTTAATAAATTTTATAACATTAGAAAGGATAATATGGATTTATAAAATTTTAAAAAAACATATGAATTTTTCAAAACAAAAAAAATATTAATATTTTTCGTATTATATAAGATAAAGTTGTCTTCTACAATGTAAAATAAAATTATTTTAGGATATAAGGAGAAAAAGATAGGGCATTTTAAAAAATATTTATATTATAAAAGAAAAGTAAAATTTCAAAAATAACCATGTATTTTTTTGGTTTTGGCAGGTTTCCTTTTAAACTGAAATATTTTGAATTTAAAATAAATTACTTCAAGCTCAAAAGAGAATTGTTGGTACAAGATAGTTTAGGTCTGCATCCCTTTAAAGGTAAAGTATAATGCTACAGAGATGCTAGTGATACGGACCAAAGTTTTTCAAGGAGTCACCGTGTGATTATCTCAAAGATGACGTGTGTTGAGGACATAATTATTTTATATTTTAGCAAAGTAATAGTTCATAAATGTAATAGATGCAAAATGTCTCTTAAATGGATAAACTTGATAATCGGAGACAAACTGAGTCATAATCATTTTGTCCATCTATTATTATTCTAAGGGAATAAATAATATTAAAAAGTTTGATGATATGCTACTCTCTCCTTCAATTTCACCATTATGTTCACACTTGATAAATGTTTGAAAAGTTTTTTCTTTTGGTAATTTTTTTTAATCAAAAATTAATATTAATTAGTGGAAAAAAGGATCATTATCTTTATGGGGTCAAGCTGGATTAAAGTTCCACTAATTTATACATGGGTAATTGTTATGTGCATTTAATATTTAAATATAAATTTAATTTAATACGCTGCATGGTAAAAGAAGTTCAAAGACTTTTCAAGTCCATTTTGGAAGGTGTGTATATATATCATATTTGTTGCTTGGTTCTTTCCTTTGGTCATCGCCTTTTTTTATTCTTCCCCTCCTCATTCTGTTCTTCTGTGTTATCTGTTGCATCTTCATCTTTTCAACCTTTTTTAGTGCCAGATATGTACTCCAGATATGATTTCATTAAGTATCTTAATCTGTCGAAGGAGGAGTGGAGGATTAAGGTGAGGGTGGTTAGGACTTGGAAGGTTCCTAATTTTCAGCAAAAAGATTTTGTCGACAATATGGACATGGTTCTATTAGACGAGAAGGTAATACTTTGCGTTGTGTTTTTTTTAATTTCTTTTTCCTTTTTTTGTTTTTATTTTCTTTTCGTTCTTTTTTCTTTTCTTTTTTTAAGGCCCTGATGTAAAGGTATCTAATGTATTCGTTTTATAGGGTGGAAAGATACATGCTACTGTCAAAGGATCTGTGAATGTCCGTAAAAAAATTTGTGAGGGGATGTCTATTTTATAAGAAATTTTGGAGTTGGTTTGAATAGTGATAATTTCATGCCAACTAGACATGATTATCGTCTGTCTTTCAACTTGAGGACCGATGTTAAATCGACTATTGATGTTATTATTCCTACTAATGGATTTAGTTTTGTTGATTTTGACGTTATAGAGAGGGAATCAGTCGACTCACCTTATTTAGTAGGTAATATTTTTGTCTCTGAGTTTACTGATATATTTTATGTGTTGATGTCGTTGATAAATGTTCAACTTATTTTTTGTAGACGTCATCGGTTTGCTGTCAGGTATTGGGGAAGTTCGTGAGCATGTTGTATCCGGTAGAAAAACAAAGATGGTTGTTTTAGAACTTGATGACCTCAGGTATTTTTGTATGATCGATGTGAAATATAATTTCATAGGAAATATATTTTTATTTCTTCCAGATGTTCTGAAAATAGGGGTCACAAGCTTGAGTGTACTTTGTGGGAGCAGCATGTGGATAAAGTGAAGTCTTTCTTGGCAAATAATTAGTTTCCTCAAAACGTTGAAATCGTCCAGCTTGCAAGGATTAAGGGTTTCATGGGTATTTTAAATAATTTGTGCTTACTAAATTTCGTGTTTATATTTGGTATGTTTTCTGAATCTCCCCCACTTTCGTTTTCATCAGTGAATAGGTAAGATAGGGATAACGAATACAAAATATACGACGAGGATTCTCTTCGATTCCAGTTTTCTCGAAATCGTAGAATTCAAAAAAAGGTGAGCATTTTCTTTACCCGCTTCGTGAAAAAAAAAACGTAAAAAAAGAAGAAAAGAAAAAGATGTGTCTATGTGTCTTCCATTAATCATTGTTTTTAGTATGTATAGTGATTGTTTGCTATTGTGTTGCGTTTTAGGCTTTCGTCTGATCCAATAGAGAACGATATGAGGTTGACTCAGTTGTCTAGCCAATCATCGTATTCTTTTGAAAATGATTTTCTGAAAGACACAGAGAAGAAGTCTATTAGTGACATTAAGAATGGCGGTGAGATTACCACTTGCATTACTTTTGAACAATAAAATCAATTGAAAGCAAGTACAACTAGTGGTACAAGTCCTGTAAGAAATGTCCATATTCTGTATGTGAGGATTTTGAAAAATAGTATTGTAAGAATTATCAGAAACATTGAGACGATTATTGTCCGAAATAAGTATTATTTTCTGAGCTTTTTGATTTTGTTATTGAATCATTGTGCTGCGCAATTATTTGTTGACTGTTGTTTTACATGTGTGACAGATTTAGTGTTCAATTGAGAGTTGTGGATAACACGGATTCTACGTCTTTCATACTATTTGATAGAGATTGTGTTGCTTTATTGGGAACGGGTGCTGTTGAAATACGCGAACAACATTTCAAGTGGGTTTTATACTCATTTCTCGCATTTTGTCATCTATTGTCAGTATTTCTACTTTGGAATTCCTTTTGAGGTGTTTCCTCTTTCTTTCTTTTCTTTTGTAGGGTGCTGATTTGGAGCTTTATCTCAAAGAACTTAATGTTCTTAATGAGAGATCCATGTTATTTAAGGTCAATGTGAAAAAAAAAGCATTTAGACTCATTGAACGAGCCAAAATATCAAGTTTCAAGAGTTTCCAGCAGCGAATCTATTATCAAGTCATTTCTTAAGTCTATGATGGAATCAAATGTATGTTGTTTTAATTTAAGTTCGTTGTTTTATTGCGTTTTTTTGTTTTTGTGTATGTTTCTTATTTTACTTGGTTTATTTGGATTAAATTTGTACGTTTTAAAAAAAATGCAGGATGAGACCATATTCGATAATACACACGACAATGATGTTGTATCACATGAACATGGACGAGTTGCAGTATCTAAACATCTATTATCAGAATCAATCAACTAAATATTGTGTCCATTTCCAAATACATACAATTGTGACTATTTCGTAATATTTTGATTTGTTACCAGGATGTTGAGAGTCAAACCTGTGAGAGTACAGGAGATGCAGACGTTTCTCTGTCTCTGTTGTCACCCTCTCCGAATTTTAATAATGGCATTGAGGAAAAATGTAATTCTTCTATTGTTCGTCCTTTGAAAAAGATTAAATTAGAGAAAGAGTTAAGTGCTTGCTCATTAATTCTCACTTTGTTCTGTACTTTATTCATTTAAATTATAAGCATTATTTGTTTAAACACTAACACGTGGGGATTAATTTTTTTGAAATAGGTTTGATGGTGAAGTTGGAGACACAAGACCAGAGGAAGGAAATCTGTGTCTTATTACGTAGTGTATGGGCCGATAAGCAGAGTGTGTGGTGGAAATGAGATTTTTATTAAACAGTGAATGGTTGTAAATGTTTTGCAAAGTCTTATGATGCATGGGCATAACAAAATGCTATGTTTCTGGACATATTGTTCCATTATATATAACAATGTTTGAATTGAGTAAAATATAATTATATATTTGTTGTACAAGTAATTATGTCCTTCGTTGTTAAACACGATGTGTGGGGTTCTGAATATAATTATATACGCTGTAAAATATAATTATATACACCACAAAATAGCACGATAATTCATATCCATTTCAGATATTTCTCAAGTAACAAGTATATTTTTTTTGTGTTTTTTGTTCCTTTATATTTATAACTTTATGGTTATATCTCCAACATATTAAAATTCAAAGCTTCATGCTACGATGAAGATGTTGATTTACCCGACACGATGATTAACCAACGACGGTCGACAACAATTTCATTCTTTTTCCCCTGACATTGCACGGGTAATTCACTAGTTTAGTGAGATACCACAATACTAAATGTATGGTGGTGAGTTTTATTGGGGATGAGAGATTTATAAGATTTATAGATCTCCTATTATAAGATTTATAATTTTCGCTCTAGGGAGACAAATAACCCCTCAAATTGGTTTCTACGAGCCTGTACATGAACTTGGACCGTAAAATTGGTCCAAATCAAAAAGCATGCTTGTGCCTAATTATTTAGGAGTGTTTGGTAGATGAGATATTTTTTTTATTGCGAAAACAGATATCTAGGAATATAGTAAGAAAAAAAAAATTCCGGATAAGTTATGAAAAGGTATTTGATAGGCCAAATTTTTTCCAAGAAAGTTGATTTAATTTTACTGATGCTATGATTGATTGATTGTAAAATATTGATGAGAATATAAATCGAAATGACAAAATTATCCATTTTCACACATCTGCTGATATATTGTATAAAGGCATTTTTGTCTCAAAACGTGAAAATGTGTTTCTGAGTTGGTAGAAAAAAATAATAACAAGGGTGGGATCGGATTATTTTTTTTCCATGTGTAGTTAAAAATGACGAGGAAAAAAGTATCCCGGGATTTTTTACTTTTACTCATATCAAACATGGTAAAAAGAAATTTTTCACCTCATTTTCCCAGCATTTCAACCAAAAAACTTATACCAAACACCCTTAAGAGAGAATAGTTTCTCCTATAAGTCTTTTCTCCTGCCATGTGACTCAAAAAATATTTTTGCGTGAAATCTCCGGCTGCTTGAGAGATTCAAAGCCCTTGTTTTAATTTATACTCAACAGGACATGGATAAGAAGGAAAGACTTATTGGAGTTGGATATAGATTGGCGGATGGTGTGCCTTAGGACAAAATGGAGAAAAACTAATAGCATAGTGGAGGGTTAAACCTGTTGTTATTCATATATTTCAAATGGTCTCTTTTTAATCCTTTTTCTCTTCATCTCCCCCTCTTCTTATTTTCCCTTTCTTTTCCTTTGTCTCTTTTCCCCTTCCCCATCTTCTTTCTCTCTTTTTTTTTCTACACCCCTTTTATTTTTACTTATATATATATATATATATATATATATATATATATATATATATATATATATATGGGAAAACAAATGTTATGTTACAGGACATTGAAGAATTTTCCTGTTGATCATTCGTAATCCGTGTTTTTTTTTATTTATTTTTTGTTTTTTCAAAATAACAAATAGACCCTACCACTTGTTGTCTGTGTCGCGTGACGGAAAATTAGTCCAGTAACGGGACATTTGACAAACTCATATATATATATTATTTATTTTTATTTTACCCCTTCGTACCTTTTATTTGTATTCATTATCACAGATCTCAATTAGTTTGGAATAAAAATGTTGTTGATATTGATATATATTAGAAGCTAAATTTTCACTTTTTTTATAAAAAGGAATATTAACCAAACATGTTGATAGTCATGGTCAACGAGCGTTTCCTGTAGGTTAAGAATTTTTCTATTGCATTTGTTATGAAAAGCTTAATCCTACAATTATAGTAATATTTATTTCAGAACATTCATTCTTATTATAATCACCTAACTAAACTTGAAAATGAGAAGTGACACTGTTAAAGTAGAAAAAATACATTTTAACTATCACCACATATCTCTCGTACATCTTCATATCAGCATACAGATCAAAATCGAAGTACCGATAAACGTAGGTTTTGAAAAGACCAGAAACAATCATATATGTTGGGAATATGTGTAAGTATGTACGATCAATATTATTCCCTAAAGTTTATGATTTGTTCAGATATTGCTCGCTTGATTAATGTTTAGGTTTTACACCTTTACGTTTTAAAGTAAAAAAAACCATTGAGGTGACTAGGATAACAATAGTTATATCCATGGTTATCAAAATCGCGAGTTAACTCGTAAAATTGTACGATTTTACGAGTTTACTTTGTTTGGCGAGTTAAATCGGTAGTAAAATCGAAATTCTGAGTAAACTCGTTAAAATCGCGATTTTACTGTGCAAAATCGCAAACTCGTACGATTTGGGACGAGTTAGCGATTCATGGGTAGTGATGGCAAAAAAAAAATTTGGACAAAAAATCGATTTGGCCCAACCCAGTTTACTCAATAGCTATTTTCTATAAAAAATAAACCCTAACTTTGAGAATTTGATGAACTTTGTACTCTAAGCACTTAGTCTCTAAATTTTTTGTTATGAGTTTGTGTCTTTTTATTTATAATGTTAGTTGGATATTATTATATTTATTATATATTTTTAAAAGTAAAAACTTATGATTCGTGGCGATTTTACTATCCCCTCACGATTTTACGTAAAATTGCGAGTTTGACAACCTTGGTTATATCGATTATAAGATTTGACAGCTTAAAAAAAAGGCAAGAGGCACCTCACATAAATTTGCAAATTAATAAAGATAGTTTCATGAATTTATGCATTTCAGTGCTAGATTTTGTTACAACTAACGGTTTATTTCTTCTGATGTTACTTTAGATAACTTTATCTAATGTTCATTAAAACGACATCATTTTGGAACGAAAATCATGGTATTTTTGTAATTTTAATTTATTTCAGGGTTATAATAGTCTTTATCACTCTAATTTTTTAATTTTTCAACCCAAAACAACGTCGTTTCGATGAACATTAGAAAAAGTTATCTAAAGTAACATCAGAAACTTTTTTTCCTACAACTAATTATCACTCAATTAATTATTTCCAAGTAAGTAATTTTATTATATGTTCAAGTAAAATCCTATATTTTTCTATGCAATTTATAATTCCTTTTCATTTCTAAAACCCAAATCATATATAATTAGACTTGTTATTGATAAAAAAAATATTGAAAATATAAAATCATATTAAGCAAAGTGAATAACCGAGATTATTAGCATGCTTGGTTTATTTTATTTTATTTTTTATTATTATTATCATTTGGGCTTCGTTGTAATCATACATTCAAAGTTAAACCCAAGATGAACTATAAAATCTGGGCCCACTAAAGAAGCAGATAAAATATCATAAACTAGGTGCAACAGAACCGATCAGAAAACTAATCCAGTAATAGCATATGTTACAGAATATGAACACTACTTAAGAATTTGTAATCAGTGGAGGGTTTCAAAGTTGATTTGCTTTCTAAACAGAGAAACTTCATAGGAATTGAGGAAGCCTCGGTACAATCCTGAATCAGCAAACCAAAGAATCAGTACAATCCATTCCAGAAACAATGACAACGTTAGCATGGCAGAGAAAAAGGGGCTGATTCTCTCTTTGGACAAACCTCTAGTATGCAGACATGATGCCACTTTGTTCCATTTTCAACAACCTAACCTGTCAAAGTGTAGTATTTTAAAAAATATCAGTTTTACTTATAAAAATACCAGTAAAGGACAGATGAAACAATCAGCAGTAAGAATCCAAGCTCTACAATGTACAATACTTCAAATATTTGTATTATGTATTAAGAACTTCTGAGCAGTAAAATAGTAGAATTATTGACTTTGCAGTAGAGACAACTCAATAGGTGTACAGATACCCAATCCATTTATAAAATCATTCCCCGTTAAACCCGACTAGTGAGTGTGGGATGGAGGTAATCCTTATACGCAGCCTTACCCTTGCATAATTGCAAAGAGACTGTTTTCTGGATTCGAACACATGACCTTTCAATCATGAAAGAACAGTTTACCACTACTTTGGTTCGCTCCCTTACCCAATCCACTTATACGTTGAAGAAAATCCATAGTTCAATTTTTATTAAAAGAGTCTGTATATTTGCACGCAGTAATAGACTATAATTTATGCGAATGCAGTATGTATGACTTGCAAACCAATTGCTACACAATGTGTGTTCTTGCTAGACTTCCACCAGCTGACTGGTCTAAGTTGTTTGTGAAGTTGATCTCAAACACTATGCTAAAGTTCTCCCAATTAGTAGCTCTCTCATGCAAAGTTTTTCCAGAACCATAATTTGTAGACCACACAATTTTTTCCCTTCATCATTTTGAAAATCTCCAACTCTTGGGCCATGCTTCCAAATTCTGCAAACAAGTCAATCATGGCAGTACCTAAGACAGGATTAGGTAAAAACTCATTAGCATCTATCAAACCCTTGGCCCAATTCCCCAAGTCCAGCTCCAACCTTGCACATGCAGAAAGAACTCCCACCATGGCATAGCAATCGGGTTTCAGATTCTCTTTCTGCATTTCAAAGAACAAGTCAAGTGCTTCTTTGGGAAGCCTATTGGAGGCATAACCCTGAATCATGGCACTCCAACAAACAATATCATTCCATTAAAGACACAATGTGCTTCTTCCATGTTTCCACATTTTGCAATACATATCAACCAAAGAGGTGGCCACAAAGACATTCCTGTGCAAACCACTCTCAGTTATATATTTGTCTATCCACCTGTCCATTATCAAATCCCCCAACCAAGTACAAGCATTAAAACACGAACAAGAGTAAAACTATCAGGCCTTAAACCCAACGGCCCTCTTAACAAACCAAAAGTTTCTTTATAATGGTCAGACTCAATATACCCACAAATGATGGCAGTCCAAAAAATAATAGCTTCTTGTTCAAGATTAATCACCTGCTTTTCACTTTGAGAGAAAGTAATGTGACGCTAAATGCACAGTGCTTTTCTATATCATCACCCTTTTCAGCTATGTGGTATTAGCTAGTGGAGCTCTTCTAATCAATGAACTATGTCAAAGACCTATACTTCCTCAATTTACATCACAGACCTATAGTCCTTACAGAAAATCCAACAATTCACTTACCAATCCCTTGCTTATTATAAGTAGTCTTATATATAAATTAACAATCAAGTAATACATCATTTACAATAGTTTGAAAAAAGACAGGACAATCTATGCTTTTGTTGTACTACAAAAGCACTAAGCAGTAAATGGTGCCATATAACACACACATGCAATGCAGATAATTGCATTTATAGCACAATTCTGTAAGAAAACATCAAAAAGCTCAATATAACATACTCTCTACCACCAATGCTCCAGCTTGACCCAATCAGGAGGGGGCCAGAACAACTTGGAAAAACCCGGATAATCAGACAAGGGCGAAATCCGACCTTCATCCAAGTCAAAAACACCCATCCCACTTTCCGGTTCATCGATGTCAAAGCTATCATCATCTCTAAAAATCACAGAGTTTCCTTTGTCAACACGCAAATCCGACACAGAAGCAGAAAACGCACAATCACCCCCTACGAACAAAACCCGGTCCCCCAAACTCCTCAACTGCACCCACTTCTTCCCCTCCTCGTCAAACCTATACACATCAAACCTCACAGATCTTGGCCACCAAGGCTCAGGAATATTATCATCATCATCATCAACATCAACATCATCACTATCATAATCATAATCATCAAACCTCGAAATATTATCATCATCATCAACATCAACATCATCACTATCATAATCATCAAGCACATTGCAGTACTGTACGAACTTGTCCACCAACAACAACTCACCCTCAGAATGAACCAAGAACTTGTTCTCACCGCCAAACACAGGATCCGCCACCAAACCCATGCTCAAGTCCGACCCGACCACCACAGTCCGACCCGTCTTGTCAACCGCGAAAATTCTCCCCTTGAAGACACAGATATCCTTGGGTTTCCTCATGTCAAAGGGGATTTTAGTCCAACGCTCATCACCAAACCTGAACAGAGATATCCCACCAGAATATTGAATCGTGAGCAGAACGAAAGTGGACCCCAACGACGCAAAAACCATCTTTCCCTTGTAGAAGATTTTGGAACATGAAGTAACCGTAAGTTTATGAACCCTGAGGAAGAACTGGTGTCCCAAATCAATAACGGGTAGTTCGTAGAGGTCCAACAGTTGGTGAAAATTGAATGTGGGATGTTCGGTTGGGAAGGGGAAGCGTGCGAGAGGGTGATAGAGCGCGGTTCGGCCATCTGGGTCATGGCGGATTTTGATCAACCAGGGTTGAAGGGTGTGTTGTTGTTGTTGTTGTTGTTGTTGTTGTTGTTGTTGTGGTGGTTGATGGGGTGGAGTGATGAGTAACAATGTGCACTTGGAGAGGGAGAAGGTTGAAGGGTCCTCGTTATTGTTGTTGGGATCGACGATTGGGAACTCAATGGGGAAAGGGTGGTAGGTGGGGATGGGGGAACAAGATGAGCGCCACGAGGAACATACCGATCGGAAACGAATGCGATAGAGTGTGCTGTCAAGGTGTTCCCATATTAGATGGAGCAGTTCCTTCGGAAGTTGAGTCCAGTCTGCCATGGATGAGTGGCGATTTTCTCAGAGAAAATGTTGGAAGATAAAAAATGAAGAAAATAAATAGACCACTAGAGTGCGAAAAAGATAATTTTAAACTTTTTAAAATAGAGTGTGTCATTTTAAGTGAAAAAAAGAGATAGATAAACAAAGAGGAAGAATAGACAAAAAAATATAAAGGTGTGTCATGACACAAGTTATAAGAGTGAAATAACATAAATTATGTCATTTTAAAAAAATACACTTCTCATATTTTTTAATGGAACAAAAAATATTTACATCAATGTATAAAAAGCTAAGGGATCTTGGTTTCTTTTCAAAAAAAAAAAATCAATAAGGGGTATTTGGTTCAGGAGAAAAAAATTTTTCCAGAAAAATAGAATTAGTGAGAATATGGTAGGAAAGTGATTTTGATAAAAAAAGTTTAAAAAAGTTGTTTGATATGTCAAAATATTATCGAAAAAATTGGGTTAAATTTTCTGAGTGTATATTTAGTTGAAGATAAAATATTGATAGAAAAATCAGTTAAAAATACTAAAATAACCCTTTATCATACTTTTTGAATCTGAATTACCATTGTATACCCTTTATTAATGGAGTGTGTCTTGCCATTTAGCTAGTTAAGTACAAAATACCATATTCGAAATGGGAAAAATCAAATGCATGAAAAAATTTCCAATAACCTGAACCAAACGCTTTATGGCTCTTGCTCCCTCCCACCCGAAGAGTTATCAAATCTTGTAATAGGTACATAACTATTGTTATCCTACTCCTTACATGTGGCTTTTTGACTTCAAAAAAAAAAATGTAAAACTTGAAACTTTAACATTAATCAAGCCTGTAATATTTGAACAAATCATTCTTGCACAACAAAGTTTAACATTAATCAAGTCAACATTTTGTGGGGTCCACATTTTTTAAAGAAAAAAGAAAAAAAAATACGGCACGCAAAACGAATTTCTATAATATTACACAATCACTTTTTATACAACATAACTCTTATAAAACCCAAACTTTATTATATAAAATTCAGTAACAGTTGTTATATGTACCTTTTTCTTTGGGTTTGTGATTTTTGCTTTCGTAGTTTTGTTTCTTTCTTATAACTACAGTTATAATTAATGATTAGATAAAAAAAATATACTAATGAAATGTTAACTCAGTCAGTATTGCTAGTTAAAATATAATTAATCATAAGAAAGAAAATGACTTCCAAAGACAAAATTGAGTTTGCAAATTAATAAAGTTAGTTTCATGAATCGATTATTTTAATGATAAACTTATATAACTAGCTAGTTCAATTGATATAGCATACTTAATAAGATGAAATAATGATTACTCAATTAATTATTCCCAAAGTATGTAATTTATGTTTATTTTCAAATAAAAATACTTTATTTTTTCTACATAATTTATAATTCTTGCCCAATTTCAAAACGCAAATCACATATATTTAGATTTATCATTGATCAAATAATTTAAAATATAAAATCATATTAGGCGTAGTGATGTCCAAGATTATTAGCATGCTCGGTTTAGTGTAGGTTTTATTTTTTATTTTTTGGAATTCTAGGTTCAAAGGCTAAACCAAAGATGAACGGTGTGATCCGGACCCACTTGAAAAGTAGATAAAATATCATAAACGAAGCGGCAAAGAACCAATTAGTAAACTTAATCCAGAGATAAGGTATGTTACAGAATATGAATACTACATACGAATTAATAATCATTGGAGAGTATCAACGGTTAGCTAAGAGATGATGAATATATAAAAAACCTAAGGTTGCTCTAAAGTAAACTTTCTCCTTTGCATGACTCTTACTCTTTCTTTTCTCTTTAAATATGGCTGTTCTGCCAACGTATTAAAAGTTGAGGGGGTTTTCTCAATTTAACTAACAAACTGAAGCAATGAATACAGGGTAGTGCCCTCTTGTATTTTATGCCAATTAAAGGGATCAGGGACCCGATGCTGCTCCTTTTATTTTGTTTCTTTATTTTTGAGTGATAGACTGAGGGTGAGGAATTCTTACACAACATCTAGTTATAAAAGTATGGTGGATATTTTATAGGGAAAAATGTTTCTGCAGTTAATTCAGATAAGTTATCTGCATTTATTTCCAAAACGATGTTGTTTTGGTATTGAAATCTTAAAAAATTATAAATATAAAGACTATTATAATTCTGAAATAAATTAAAATTATAAAAACACCATAATTTCTGTCTCAAAACGACCGTCGTATTGAGCTTACTGCAGAAAAAACGAATCCATTTTATAAACGGGGTAGCTGATTTGCTTCCTTCTAAGCATGATTAACAGATAAATTTCAAGAGAGTTGAGGAAGAATCAGTACAATCCATTCTAGAAACAAATCAAACAATAATAACGTTGACATGAAAGAAAAATGAGCACTCTCTTTGGCCAAACCTCTAGCATGCAGATCTGTTGCCACTTTCTTCCATATTCAACAACTTAGCCTATCAAAGGGTAATAACTAAAAAATATCAGTTCTAGTTATAAAAATACCAGGAAAGGACAGATGAAATAATCTGCAGTAAGAATCCAGCTTAATTCTTATCATTATATGCGTTAAATACTTAAATCAAATACCATGTAATGTAAAAAAAAAAAAAAAAAATCTACCATGTACAATATTTCAAATTTTTCTAATTTCTTTTCAGACCTTCTGAGCAGTATAATAGTAGAACCATTGGCTGTGCAATAGAGACAACTTTAAGAGGTGTACTGTAAATAAACTCAATCCATTTTTATCATAAAGAAAATCGATAGTACAATTTTTTGGCAAAAGGTTTGTAGATTAGCCCCCGGCAATAGACTGCAATTTATGTAAATGCGAGCTACGGAATATGCGTTCCTGCTAGACTTCCACCAGCTGACTGGTCTAAGTTGTTTGTAAAGTTGATCTCAAAATCTATGCTAAAGTTCTCCCAATTAATAGCTCTGTCACGTAAGGTTTTTCCAGAACCTCAATTAGGTCCACAGGGAATGGAAAAATAGTCAGCAAATCTGAATTCAAGGGCTCAATTTGCAATCATTACAGACCACCTTGAGAAAAGTAATTGCATTCTCCAATATGACGGCGACTTTCAAGTTCATCTTTGGACCCAAATTGCTGCATCAAATTGAGGGATGGGAGGAATTGTGGTGTTAGGTAAGCAGGTGCATTTAACAAGTGACCATTTCTCCATCTGAAAGCAGTAAAACTATCTCGGATCACCATTCACCACTATATTCAAGGCAGGAAGTCATATATTTCATTTTTCCCCTTTCAGAATATTATGTAAAGAGTTAACAGAACATAAAATTCCATTTCAACATATGCAAGAGAAAATCTGATGTCTGACAACTTTTGAAGCAAATAATGAGTTGAGACTTTAGACCTTGGAAACATCGAAGTGTTACCAATAATCCCGACAAGAACATGAAACAACCTAATAACAGAATTATACTCTTCCCTCCACTCAAAGGCTGGAAGCTGGACATTCTAGAACATACTATGTAACAGACTCACTTCCTATTGTCACTCCACTCTGTTCTCAACCCTATCCATTCCATCCACAGTCCACTAATCAAATCCCCTAACTGAGTACAAGCATACTTATTAATCTCGGATAGCGCCGCGTAGCGCCTGACCCTCCAAATTGCTATAGCGCTATAGTGGGTAGCGCTACAATCCTACTGTGCAAAGTGTACCTAAGTGATACACTAAATTGTATTCCACAAATATAAAACTTAAAAAATGAAAATGTGACATAAAAAACAAATTTGAAGGATCTCAAACTCAAACATAAATGATTTCAAACATTAAAATTCAAATCATAAGCAAATTGAAGGAATTAAAGTCTCAAATAATGCAACACAACAAAATAAAGTGGCAAAATTAGTCAGAATTCAAACTGCCACTCAAGTGAAATGTTAAAATCAAAAAACTTAAGGAACTAATCATAATTGAAATCATGAACATCCAAATCTTCATCTTCACTTTCACTTGTAAATAAGTTGTAAATCTCTTCTTTCTACTACGAGAACACTTTTGTAGAAACTACTGTAGCGGCACAATAGCATTGCGATGCAGCCGCAATAGCGGCCGCTACATCCACTACACTTCGCCTGACAGTAGCGGCGCGGTTTGTGTCGGCCAGCCACTGCACCGCAACGCAACTCCGCTATAGCGCGCTAAAGCGGGGCTATTCACAAGTATGAGTACAAGCATATAAAACACGAACAAGAGTAAAACTATCAGGCCTCCAACTCATCTCCAATGGCCCTCTAAACAAACCAATAGCTTCTTTAAAATGGCCAAACTCAATATACCCCACAAATGATGGCAGTCCAAGAAACAATAAGGGAGTGTTTGGTATAAGGGAAAAATTTAGATTTCGGGGAAAGTTACATTGGCATTCTTGTATTTCCACGTTTGGTAGAAAGAAGTGGAAATTTTTTCCTGAAAATCTTGGTTTTCCAGGATTTTTAAATGTGAACAAAAATGAAACAAAATCCTAATGAATTATCCCACTGAATATGTGGTATTCGACGAATCTCACACAGGGAAAAAATTTCGATAATTATTCAGACTAAAATACCCTTCCTAGCTTTGCTTTGTGCATCGATTTGCTCGATTTGTTAGTCCCAACTAAAACGCTCTGTGGTTCAAGGTTCTTTCTTTTTCTCTCTTTGTGCCGCTCATAGACTGCGTTTCTGGGTTTCTTTGGTGTTTGCAAAGATTGGCACAATGCTTCTTCAAAAGCTACACATAAATCTTTCGACATGGTTCAATGTTCTTCTTTTGCCTCTTTTCCAGAGCAAAAATAGAGCTTCCAAGCTAAGCTAAACATAATTATCTCACCATATTGCAACATTTTCATCTGTTCCCAGTTCAATATAAATTATTATTTACAAAACCCACTTCAGATTTTTTATTTTTAATCAGTGTTTGAAAAGTTCATATCGTGGAGGTTAATTTCGTAAATTCACCACATATTTCCAGCAATATTTTATCATCAACCAAATATAGACTCAGTAAACTTAACTCAATATTCCCGGTAATATTTTCACCTACCAAACAACTTTTTGGTAATATTCCCGGAAAACTCACTTTGCCACTATATTCTCAGGAATCATGATTCCCAGATAAAAAAAAATTTCTCCTCTACCAAACACCCCCTAATTTCTTGTTCAAGGTTAATCAACTGCTTTTCACTTTGAAAGAAAGCAATGCGAGGCTAATTGCACAGTACTTTTCTATATCATGACACTTTTCAGCAATGTGATATTAGCTTAGAGGAGCTCTTCTAATCAATGAACTATGTCAAATCAAAGACCTATACTTCTTCACTTTACATCACAAACCTATACTCCTAACAGAAAATACTTATCAATTCCTTGCTTATTAGTAGACAAACGTATAAATTAACAAAGAAGTAAAACCTCATTTACAATAGTTTAAAAAAGATAGGACATCTTATGCTTTTGTAGAACTACAACGGAACTAAGCACCAAATGGTGTCACATAACACATTAATGCAATGCAGATATTTATAGCACAATTGTGTAGGAAAACATCAAAAAAGTTCAATGTAACATACTCTCCATCAATGCTGCAACCTGATCCAGTCCGGAGGGGGCCAGAACAACTTGGAAAAACCCGGATAATCAGACAAAGGCGAAATCCGACCTTCATCCAAGTGAAAAACACTCAACCCACTTTCCATGTCATTAATATTGAAGTAATCATCATCTCTGAAAATCAGACAGCTCCCTTTGCCAACACACAAATCCGACACAGAAATAGAAAATGCACAATCATCCCCCAAGAACAAAACACGATCCCCCAAACTCCTCAACTCCACCCACTTTTTCTCCTCCTCCTCAAGCCTATACACATCAAACCTCACAGCTCTCTCCCACCCAACCTCATGAATATCATCAACGTAATCACCATCATCCTCGAGCACACACATATAATCAGAGTCCACTATATACTTGTCCACCAACAACAACTCACCCTCAGACTCCACCAAGAACTTCTTGTCACCACCAAACACAGGCTCAGCCACCAAACCCACAGTCGAGTCCAACCCGACCACCACGGTCCGACCCGAGTTGTCAACAGCGCAAAGTCTCCCCTTGAAAACACAAACATCATCGTACGGTGTCGGCATGTCGGGAATTATGATCCAATCCACATCACCGGACCTGAACAGAGCCAGTCTCCCAGAAACATGAATCGTGAGCAGAACGAAACCCGAACCCAGCCACGCAAAAACCACCTTTTCCATGTACAAGGAATTTAAAGAACGAGGACCCAAAACGTTGAGGACGAACTCGTGTCCCAAATCAAACACGGGTAGTTCGTAGAGGTCCAACGTTTGGGGAAAATGAGATGTGAAAGGCTTGATTGGGATGCGTGTGAGAGGATGCCAGAGCTCGGTTCTGCCACCTGGGTCTGGGCCGATTTTGATCAACCAGGGTTGAAGGGTTTGTTGTTGTTGTTGTTGTTGTTGTTGTTGTTGTTGTTGTTGGGGTGGGGTGATGAGGAATAGGGTGCGCTTGGAGAGGGAGAAGGTTGAAGGGTTGTTGTTGGAATCGTTGGAGAGGATTGGGAACTTAAAGGGTAAAATGTGATTGTTGGAAATGGGGGATGAGGAGGATCGCCATGAGGAACAGACGGATCTGAAACGAAGGCGATAGAGTGCGCTGTCAAGGTATTCAGATATCACATGAAGGAGTTCCTTCGGAAGCTGTGACCAGTCTGCCATGGATGAACGGTGATTTTCTGACGAAATGTTTTTATGGGAAGATAAAGAAGAGGCATTGAGAAAAATTTAATACGCTCGAGGTACATTATTTATTCAATGGTTCCTTTTTTAAAAATAAAAAAATTTCTTTCATTTCTATCTTTTTGTTTTTGTTTTCCCCCATCCGTTCTTTTTTTTTTTTTATTTTGGGGAGGGACCACCCTGGTCCCGACTCACAAAAAAATCTTCTCCATTTTTTAACTTTTATATATATATATATATATATATGGGTCAGGATCATTTTACATCAGTGTAAGTTACACTCTTAATCTTCTCCGTTAATCCCACTTGTATCCAATGGCTCACGTTACTAAAAAATTTGAGCCCTTAGATATAAGTGAGATTAACGGAGAAGATTAAGAGTGTAACTTACACTAGTGTAAAATGATCCTGACCTATATATATATATATATATATAAGGTAGGATCCTTTGATACCGGTGTCAAATTTAAAGTTTGACACCTCATCTGAGAGCCGTTAGATAAAAAAAGATCAATGGTGTCACATGCTTACAAATCAGAGTCGTTGATCTTTTTTTATCTAACGGCTCTCATATGAGGTGTCAAACTTCAAATTTGACACCGGTGTCAAAGGATCCTGCCTATATATATATATATATATATATATATATATATATATATATATATATATATATATATGGTTTATATTTCTGCAGCTGCTATACTTGCAATAATCAAATACTTGTCATATATATACTTAAAAGCATTAAATGCGGTAAATCATAACCATACAAATGATGAAAACATTAAATGTGGAGAATCATAATCATACACATGTCGTTGCTGTATGTAAAGCGGCTGCAGAAATGATTTTACCTATATATATATATATATATATATATATATATATATATAGGCTTATCATTTCTCAAGCTGCTTGAAATAATTTTATCTTCGACTACTAAATCATAACCGTACAAATATGGATAACTGGTGATAAAGGAAGAGAAAGAAAAAGAGAATCATGACCATTCAAATGTGAATCAATTAATATAAGCAAATAAATATACAAAACGACGTCATTTTGGGGTGGTAGGAGATAAACTTATCTCAAGTTGGTGGAGAAATATTTTTCCATATGCATATATATATATATATATATATATATATATATATATATATATATATATATATATATATATATATAGGCTTTAACGTTTCTACTGTAGATAAGTTATCTCCATTCACTCTCAAAACGACGTCCTTTTGAATTGAAAAATTAAAAATATTTAATGAAAAAAACTACTATGACCTTGAAATAAATTATAATTACAAAAATACCTTAATTTCTGCCTCGAAATGATGTCGTTTTGGGCTCAATGTAGATAAGTTATCTAAATTGACTGTAGAAAAAGCGAACTCATATATATATATAGGAAAAAATATTTCTCCAGTCACCGGAGATAAAGTTATCTCCAGTAAGCTCAAAACGACGTCATTTTGGGGTTATAAGATTAAAAAATTATAATGATAAAGACTAATATAACCCTACAATATATTATAATTACAAAAACACCTTGATTTCCGCCTAGAACGACGTCGTTTTGAGCTCACTGGAGATAACTTTATCTCCGGTGACTGGAGAAATCCTTTACCCATATATATATATATATATATATATATATATATATATATATATATATATATGGCTTTAATGTTTCTAAAGTGAATGTAGATAAGTTATCTACGTTCTCTCCCGAAACGACGTCGTTTTGGGTTGAAAAATTAAAATATTATATTGAAAATGACTATTATAACTCTGAAATAAATTATAATTCCAAAAATACCTTGATTTCTGCCTCAAAACGACGTCATTTTGGGCTCAATGTAGATAACTTATCTATAACTTAGATAAGTTATCTACATTGACCGTAGAAAAAGTGAACCCTATATGTATATATGAAAAAATATTGTTCATTTTAAATGACACAATTTTGTGTCATTTATAACGAAACTACGTGATTTTTGTGTGTGTTTTCATTTTCTCTCTTTCACTTTCTTTTTCTTCCTAATTTTATAAAAAAGAGAAAATGAAAAAATACACCAAAAAAACGTAGTTTCATTAAAAATAACATAATTTTATTTCATTTAAAATGAAAATACTTTTTCTTATATGTATGTATATATACATATGTATATATATATATATATATACATATATATATATATATATATATAATATTCTAAAGGAAACTCATTCTTTGGCAAGTTTGCTGATGTGTCACTTTCTCCTTCACTTTCAGTTTTGTGTTCACATTACAAAATATTTAAAACCTTTCCTTCTTTGGTAAAAAAGAATAAAAAGAAAATTATTAAATAAAATTGAATTTGTAATTAAATTCAATTGAGAAAATATATTAACAATTGTTGATGGCAGACAACTCATTTAATGTCCCTCTACTTTCTGCATTGGAATATCCAAATTAATAATATCTCACTGCTTTCTGAAATCTTGATTTTCAATTTTGAATTTGAATTTTTAATTTGAATTTGAATTTTGAATTTTGAATTTTGGATTTTGAGTTTGAATTTGAATTTGAATTTTAAATGGTGGAAAAATATTTGAACAATTGATGATTGCAGACAGCTCATTTACTATCTCATTACTTTTTTTTATAGATATTATCTCATTACTTTCTACATGGGTAATTGTTAATCCTATTAATGCTGCATAAAAAAATACTATTTTGTTAAAAAATAATCATTAAAAAAACGAAATTTTTTTTGTAAAAAACGCAAACATTTTGTGTATAAATAGGATATGTGTTATTGGGTTTTTTCATTTGGTAATTAGCTTCTGTGCACGTATTTCTTCTCTTATTTATCTTCTTCATCTTCTCAAATTTGGTAATTAGCTTCTGTGCATATATTTCTTCTCTTATCTGTCTGTTTATCTTCTTCATTTTCTCAAATTGTTGTTCTATTACATGAATATGTAATATTTTTGGGTTTTTTTTTGCAGCTTTGTTGTAGAACAAAACTGACGGGATGGTTTGGAATCACTAGGATATGTGCTTTTGTACTTCCTTGGAGGAAGGTATGACATTCTTCTTTATCTGTTTTTCTTTTTTAAGTATTTTTTTCATAATCTAATATCATGAATGAATGAGATGATATAATAAAATATCTTAACTTTAAAATGACTAAATATTTGACTTTAGCCTTCTTTGGAAAGTGTTAGGAATATGGCTTCCATACTCAAGAGGGGGTGAATTGAGTATTACAAGATTTTCGCAAAAGCACACTTCTAGTTTTTAAATAATCATTTCAAGCAAACTTTGATATGTAGAAAGCTAATCAATATATTCAGATAATCCATAATATATAATATATCACAATTATAGAACTTATACTAGCACATACAAGATATCAGATAAGCAATTAAAGTGCTAAAAATAAAGAGTTTAGAGTTTAGAAAATTGCAAACACAATATATCCTGATTCGGTCACCACTACTTGTGACCTATGTCCAGATTGAAGCCGCTCGATCAACTCTTTCACTAATGGTCGACAAACCTTTACAATCTTCCAATACTTCGGGTTCTTGGATACCTTACAATCTCCAAGTTTACGGGTACTTGGTAACCTTACAATTCACTCCAAATTTACTTAGGTATTTGGCCACCTCTCAAACAATGGGTCTCACAACCCTTTCAACTCAAGAATACAAGGAGGGAAATATTTAGAAATAAATATACACTCTCAAAGTGTGGATATACAACTTGAAGCACTATGGGTATATGAATTTTCAAGATATGAGCTCAAATATGTTTGATCTTTGAAAGATATGAAAGAATATGCAAATGATAGTGTAGAAGCTCTCAAAGCATGCTTAATATGTGTAAAAATGATGCCCAATTTTTTTGAGTCGTTGGGAATGCATATATAGTGTTTTCATTGAAAACTAGCCTTTTATAGCCATTGAGATCTCATTTGAAAACTAGCTGTTTATAGCCGTTGGAAAACTAGTCGTTTATAGCCATTGGGATCTCATTTGAAACACTAGCTGTTTATAGCTGTTGGGATCTCATTTGGAAAACTAGTCGTTTTATAGCCGTTGGGATCTCTTTTGAAAAACTAGCCGTTGGGATCTGTCGCAGTGATAATCGATTCCCAACTTGACAGCAAGAATATTGTTTTGTATTCTGGCTATAATTTGAGTTATACTTGTCTGATTGATGTGATCTTGGTATCGTTGGAAAGATAAAAGAGATATCTACAACATTTATGAAGAACACAAGATCCAAATCCATCATCTTAGATACGAAAAATTGTATGGAAGGAAGCAGCAAAATTAAGCAACAAATTTTAAGTTCAAATGTGTTCTAGCTTGCTTCCAACTACTTTTTGTGAAAGATATTGACTTGATAAATATGTTTTGAAGTTATAAAATATGTCAAGGATCTTTTCCATGAAATTTTCAAATTTCTTCAAGTATATAAAGGTTATGATTATGTAATTTGAAAAACACATTTACTTTGAGAAAAACTTTGCTCATGCAATGCAATCTATCATATACCTTCACATATATTCTAAGTCCTAAAGATATATTCTAAATATGATTTTAGACTTAGCTTCATGTCTTGTGTCTTAGATCTTTTCTTGAACTTGATGCTTTGACTTGTTGAATATGACAATGCTTGACACTTTGTTGGTTTTACCATGGTTACGATATTGAGCTTCTCTTAGATGTTGTCCATGGTTAGTTGCTTTTGATCTTGTTATTGCTCTTCTAATTATTTCTTGTTGCTCTTGATCCAATGATCTTGCCACTTTGATATGACATCACTCTTCTTGTGTGGCTACATCATACATCTTCAATATCCACATATGGTTGATGCTTTTTGCTCTTGATCAAATGATCTTGTCTTTTTGTTGTTGTCACTTTGTTATCATCAAAACATACATTGTATCTACAATCTCCTTCTTTTTGATGATGACAAACTTAAAATTGAGAAATGGTTATCATAACAAATATTCTCTAATAATGTATAATATTATTCCCC